TGGTCCTGCCCGGTCCTCCCCGCCCTCAAGCTCCCCCGCCTCTTCCTAGGCGTCAAGGAAAGCGACAAATGGTGGGACGGGCTGTCAAGAAACTGTTTTTAGACCGCCCAGACCGGTACCTCCAGATCATAGATGAGGAGGTTGATGGGACTCAGTCTGGTGCATCTCAGGCTGGCTCATCTCAGGCGGGCTTAACTCAGAGTGGTATATCTGAGGCTGGTCCATCTCAAGCTGCTTCATCTCGATCCATGTCAAGTGTAGCTGAGCGCGCTGCCTCTACACCATATGTCGTCCCTGAACAAGGTGCTCAGCAGACAGAAGCACAAGTCCATGGTTCGTCACGCGGGCCATCAAGGATCAATTTTACAAGGCGAGCCCCGCTAGTCACAGCACGGCAAACCCATGCGCAGCCCATGACATTGACGCACGGAATGGTGACTGCTCAGCCATCAGGAACTCCAGCTCAGACGCCATTGTCGTCAAAAGAAGCCAAGAACAGAGCGGCAGCTCTAAGGCGAGACCAAATTGAACAGAATAATGAGGAGTTTTTTCGGCAACAGGCAATCAGGGACCGGGAACGCATTGACAAGGGTCGGAGGTTTATTCGGTCACAGGCCAATAGAGTCTGGGAACGCCGTAACAGCGGGGGTGATGGAAATGATGAAGGTGGACAGGGTCGTGAAGATGGTGACGATGGTGGGGGTGGTGAAGGTGGTGAAGGTGGCGAGCAACGCCCAAACCTGTTCACCAGGCTATCTCACAGACTAAGGGATCAAGACCCTACACCTGAGACCCGGGTGCCACCAATTGGCGATCAGGCCGACGAGGGAGAGGTTGGTCAGCAACTCGGCAACGCGGCGCGCGTTGTGTTTGCAGCGGCTCGGGCTGCATTGGGCTGGGATTTAGACTTGTAGTCCATGATGCCTGTGCAGAGGAACAGCGAAGCTTCAAGTGAGCGAGCGGCGTGGGAGGGTTTATGTATTTGCAATGGTGTAGAGGTAGTGAAGCGAAGACCTATTAGTAGTCGCAAGAGATGATAATTCAAATAGTTCATCCGTACCTAATCTGCCAGGTCTGTCTGTGTCCCTCTCGCGAGGCTTATACCTAACAGACATGTGTATGTAGTTGGCGCCGAGAAAAGCTGGCGAGGCTCAAGTTTGGTCCAACTAGGCAAGCCGACCCTTTTACAGTGGAGGCGTTTTTCTTGGCGAAGAAGCAATTCAGGAACGCGACAGGGATCGGCAAGAGGGGAATTTCAGGGGCCAAGATGGACCCTTGCAGCAGGGGTTCTAGGGGTGTGCATCCAGTTTATGCTCAACCTGCCTACCGTCGCTTTCTGGCCCCATCCCCGCTTCATCCGAAAGGCAGTGGGGTTGCATGCGGGAACGAATGGATGGACATTTGGATTTGACACGGGTTTCACAAGAGGTTTGGGTATCAGAAAGATAAAATCGAATGACGATGTTCGGTGCGCGGCATGGCGCAGACACATCGAGCGGGACGAGCAGTCACGAGCAGGGAAATGATGTGCGCGATGGGCTTGATTATCCCAACTTCTGATTGAGGATGAAATGGATAAGCTTCCCGAGCGTTCCATCCATCCATCCATCCCGTTTGTCGCGAGGTTTTTTTTTTTTTTTTTTGAAGGCAGTGAAGACGCGCGGTACCCTATGGGGTAGAGCATTTCGTGCATATTTAATGTGGCGCAGTCACATGTTCATTTATAGTGCAGTGCCCTGGCTGGTGTTGGGCCGGCGAGTACAAGGGAATTACCTACACTACCTTAGCAGGAGGCATGGATGGGATTCGCGTTCGCTCCACGGCTATTACGGCGCTAGATAGGGCGGTGCAGGGTTGAATGGACCTGAATGACAAAACACCTTCCACTCCCACCTCACCTCTCACTTCTTCGTTCAGTCTACTTACTCTCTCCATCTGTCACTCACTCCTTCCTTTCGCCATCATCTAGGCACCTATCTTCCTACCTGTCGTTTTGTTTCTTCTTCCTTCCTTTCCTTCTAGGTTCAGTTGCTCTTCCCTTCTTCCTTCACGGATTGTTGCGCACTCGGCCTTCTTCCAGCTTCCGAAACTATCCCCGCGAACCAAACGAAATTTCACCAAGCAATCCAGATGTGTCATTCTTGACTACCACCACTTCTTGTTCTCTTCACTGCTTCAATATTTTTTTTCTCTTCCGGCTGCTTGTTGGCTGGTGAACGAACAAGAACGACAACGAAATTCGATATTCCAGCTTTGAGCGCCATAGCATTTCAGAGATCGATACCAACGAAGACACCCGCGGCGCGTGAGCTAACCAACCTGCCCGCTCCGGCCCCTCCCTTCGAACACCCAATTTCGGCTGCGCAATTTGGCGGCGTAGTCAAATCAATCTGAAGTCTCACAGCGCGGAATGCGCTGTTGAATGACGGGCTTTTTTTTTTCTTTTGCAAAGGACGAGTCCAACGGGACAAGTTGGAATTTGCTAGGGGGAGGACTGTTACTCGCATACCTTACTTTTTGCATCCTACATACCTATTGTATCAATAGGTGCTGGTGGTCATTACGGGACATCGCATTGCGCCCGGCGAGCAACTCTGACGCGCATGAAAAATAAGTGGAAACATCCGATTATAACGAGACGTTTGATGCGACGAATTTCTTGAAAAGAAGAAAGGCTTAACGGAAGTTTCTGGAAGTATATTCATTAACGAATTGCGATTCGCCTTTTGCTCTGGTCTACTACGTATCCGACACGATCCTGCGGCCTTTGCAAATTCGCCGAATCTTTTCTGCCCATAAACCACGACGTTACCGATCAAAACAGAAAACGAAAGAGTATTATTGCTTGCGCCAAAACGGCCGCGCAAGCCGATAATCGCCCATCATGGGTTCCTCATTCTGCAACACCACGTTGGAGGAATTACGAAGTAGGTTCTGTCTCGACCCTATTCCTTTCCAGAAGACCAAGTCACTAATAACCCATCTACGTTCACATAGTCCACCCTGGCGATGAACGTCCCATAGCCGGGCCCTTAACCTTCCACTCCCTCGCCCTCGTAATCGCCGCTGCCTCGACCCTGGTAGCCATAGCTATGAGCTTCTACCTGATCATGCGACACGCGACCAACTACACCGTTCCCAACGAGCAGAAGCAAATCATACGTATCTTATTCATGGTCCCAATTTACGCCTGCTCCTCCTTTTTGTCCTTACGCTACTACTACCACGCCATCTACTTCCAAGTCATCAGCGACTGCTACGAGGCCTTTGCCATTAGCTCCTTCTTCAGCTTGATGTGCCACTACATCGCGCCCGATTTGCATTCGCAAAAGGACTACTTCCGCGAGATGCAGCCTATCAAAGATTGGGTGTTCCCGCTGAACTGGATGGCCAAGTGCTGTGGCGGCCACAGGAAGGGTCCCTGGAGGACGCCGAGGAGTGGGCTGACCTGGTTCAACATTATCTGGATTGGGGTCTATCATTACTGCTTTGTGAGAGTGGCCATGACGGTTGCGGCAGTCTTGAGTCAGTATTATGGACGGTATTGCGAGAGTAGTAATTCGCCCATGTTTGGGCATATTTGGGTATGTCGTGTCTTCCCTCCCTCTCTCACACCATTCTAGTCTTGGTCATCTAACCCAAAAACAGATAACAGCAATCCAATCCATCGCCGTCACCATCGCCATGTACGCCCTCATCCAATTCTACGTCCAATTGCGCTCCACCCCTCAACTCTCCCCGCACAAACCCTTCCTCAAAGTCCTCGCCATCAAACTCGTCATCTTCCTCTCCTTCTGGCAATCCGTCGCCATCTCGGTAGCCACATCGGAAACCATTCACATCGTCGAACCCAACTCCATTTTGGCCTATCCCGACATCAAAGTCGGCATTCCCTCCTTACTCCTCTGTTTCGAAATGGCCTGTTTCGCTATCCTGCATCTCTGGGCCTTCCCCTACAAACCATACACCAGCGCCCGCGGTGGCAGCGACTTGGCTTTCACCGGCCCTGCCCCAAAACACGGTGGACCCATGGGCATCCTCGCCCTCTGGGACGCCATCAACATCTGGGACGTGGTCAAAGGTTTCGGCAGAGGCATCCGGTGGTTATTCGTGGGCGTCAAGAAGCGCGAGAGGGACGTGAGTTATCTCCATCTGGACAAGGAAAGTCACCCGCTGGGAAACAGCATTCCTCTGCGGGGCGCCAGCACCCGAGGGAGACAAAAGAGCAGCGACTCGTCCATGACGACCATGAGCGAGGTGGATATTCATCATCATCATCATCAACATCCACAGGATACAATGACGGGAGTGGGAGTAGCAATAGGGGACTTGGAAGCGCCGGCGCAGGCGCATCAGCACCATTATGCACATGGGGTGGTGTATGGACATGGACATGATGGGCATGGGCATGGGCGCGTACCCGATACGAGTTATAGAGGTGCTCATGCGGTGAGGACGGAAAGCTTTGATAGCTTGGATTTGGGTGCGGGGGGAGGGATGCCGAGGGCGGCGGAGTATGAGCGACGAGGAAGAAGCGGGTCTGCTGCTTCGGTTGATGAGCATCATTATTATGAGGGTCGCAATGGTGGTGGTAGCGGTGGGGGTACGATGACGTATCATGGGGGACCAGGAGTGTACAGGAACCAGAGCAGCGGGTACTATGATCCTCTGCCTGGGCCACGAGATGAGGATGATAGTGTTGGACTGGTGAGGCATGCGCCATATCCGTATGGAAGTCAGAGTGGCTATCGATAGGCCCCAAGGGGGCTAGCCGGCTGGCTTGGTTGGTTCAGGTCGAGGAGGAATCATTTTCATGAGCAATTTGCATTTTTATGTTATATACCATTTCGTGCAGCAGGGTATCAATCAGTTTACATTGAAACACTTTGAGATCATACTGCGTAGGTATAGTATCTAAACCCCTGGGTCATGACATCTCATTAAGTAAACAATTCGGAATCGATTTCATCTCTTTTTAGCGACAAATGCCGACCATCGTTTTACTCCAAGCTCGCAACAGACAAAAACCCCATAGTCGAATAGTGATTAGGACAAAGGCCATGACAAACAATCAGTTGAGAAAAATTATTACTTCTCGTTAGGTAAGGAGGCCAGTATGCCGGGTATAAAGAGTTCGAAAGACCAAGGTTCCAATCCAAACCATGGGCAACGACGTCAGGATATTAAGTTGATCGTGCCTCCACCGAGGTAACAAACAAAAGGCGTTGGACAGAATGGATCTACTTTTAGTAGTAGATCTTCTCCTCCCAAATAGGAGGCCTAGTTCCCTCCCGATCCCAAACCAAGTGTCCCTTCTCATCCAACTCGCAGCCCTCATCCGTGATGGGGACGACTCGGCTTGTGTGCTCAACCTCCTGGCGAGACACACCGGCACCATTGGCATCGCTGGGGATCCAAAGAAGCGGTACATCCGACGTGACGTTGGGCGGGCAGTACGCATCTCTTTCGACCTCTTCGGTGTACGGATCGAGCTGGACACCCCTAGGGAGGTAAGCCCGCAGGGTGTCGTAATCCGAGTAGATCCAGGGCTTGAGGAATTTGACCAAGAAGTTGGGTTTCTTGCCCGTCACGTGGTTGGGCTGGTGCCTCGAAGCATCAAGGGCTTCCTTCGCACCAAGAATAGGATCTTCTGCGCGGCTCTGTGCACCGTTGGTACCGTTTGACGGAACCTTCTCGGTAGAGTTAGCGCCAGTTGTCGGGCTAACGCCATTGCGCAATTCGCCACCAAGCCCGTTCTCAGCGGTATGCGAGTCAACGGGAGTGTCGAGCAGAGGGCCCTCCTCCTCCGCAAGGAGAGTAAGAGGCAGATTATACAATAACGGGTTGAGGGCAGCGTTCATGCTGATGTGGAAGAGGATAGTGAAGATGAGGAAGACCACCATCAGGACAAGCGGACCGGGGGCAACAGAGGCACCGAAAAGGCCAATCATGCAAATTTCAGCCAGGTAGATGCCAGTGTAGAGCTGCTTGATTGCACGAGGGTAAATGAGGCCGCGCGTATCGATCTGAGTGTCCGTGACAAACAGGACATTGTAGCGCCAGGCGAGATAGAACAAGCCCATAGCGACCGTAGCCCAGCCCAGCATAAGAGGAGCAATAGTCGCGTACGCAATGGCTACAAATCGAGTTAGTGAGGTGCATGTATGGTAGAGGGGGCAGGGAAAACTAACCGATGACCACAATGTTGGTATAGACTGGCATGGTACTACCCCAGGAAATGGCACTTAGGTTCGCCCACTTAGTGTAAAGAGCACGAGGGGTATTGGCAAGGAACTTGTACAGAAGGTTGAAGACGAAGAATCCGACTACCTGCGTCAAGACCGAAGTCGCAATGCTCAAGCCCTGTACAATGAAATAGGAAATGTAGAAGTTGGAAGACTTTGGCAAGTTCTCGGAAAGGAGCTTCGTCACCGAGCCCGGATTGTCAGCAATTTGCTTCGCGACGGCAGTGGCAGATGAGGCGACAGTAGCCACCAAAAACACCTGGATCACCTGGAAAGCAAAGTAAGCGTGCTGAGTAAACAGCTCGACTCGGGAGAGCGAGGGCTCGCCGGAGAGCTTGGCACAAATACGGATGACGACCGGGACCAAAGACATGAGGATGGAAAGAGCGACGGAGGGCAGCAAACCGGTAACAGCGCCCAAGATGAAGCCGGGGATATCGTCGAGCCATGTCAGGAATGAGATAGTCTTAAGGTAATTGACGTTGCTGATGATGCCAACAACACCCACAGGAATGGCCCAAAAGATAATCATGGCGGTAATGAAGGCATAGACGGCATAGCGACGAATGACACGCTGCCACCAAGGAATGGCTAGCGACTTCCACACAATCTCATTGGGACGGATACCGATGTACTTGGGCGTCATGTGCAGTCCCCGGTGATGGGCCAGGATCTGGGCAGCTCCTTCAGCATCGGCCTGGGTCCTGAACTCTATGAAAACGCCGGGGACCTTCTTGAAGGCTCCATCGCGGTACTTGTCCTGGGCTGCCTCAGCCTCGGGAATGAGACGCGTAAGCTCCTCGCGACACCAGTCGATCGTGTCGACCTTCTTGCCGATCAGGCCCAAGAGTCCAAGACGGTGAGTCGGGCGCTTGTTCCTAGGGACCCAGCGGGCCGCAATGCTACCGGACTCGGCATCCAGGGGGGCCTGCTTGTCAACGTCGTTGACATCACCTTTGCTCATGGCCTTTCGGCGGATCTTGTTGGCAAGCTTGATCAGCTTGACCTCGGCCTTTTCGAGGCGCATGGCAACCTTGTCGCGCTCCTCGACCAGTTCGTCAACCTCCTTAGTTTCGCTTGTGATCCACACATTCTTGACGGAGGCGCCAAAGACCTTGCGCAGCCTTTGCTCGTCGAGGTAGGGTTCTGGGACCGAAGTAAAGAGGACAGTACGGGACGAGATGCGTTGCGAGTAAAGAGGACTGATGAGAAAGGCCTGGCGAAGGTTGATGTAGAAGATGCACTCTCGCATGATGAGGTACATGACGAAACCGAAAAAGATCCAGCTAATAAAAACGTGGGCATAGTAGCGGTTGTATTGTGTCTCGCGGTTGATGTTGCCGTAAGTCAAGATATCCAGCTGTTTCAAGCCGTTACCGCCGGTGGCATTGACGGGGAAAAGGACGGGCCAGGTGATGCAACAACCGACGAAGCAGATGGTGACGGCCATGCGCAAGTAGCGGATGTACAGGTATGCGTCGAGCGACTGGTGCTGAAGGGCGTAAACGTCGGGTATCTTCCAGAAATCTTTGACCCAGCTGAAAAGGCCACTTGATAAGCTTGGTGATCGTTCATTTTCTCGCAGACTGCCAAGGTAGGTTCTGGGAGCATAGTATCTTCGGTTGCTCTTGCGCAAAACCAAGAAAATCGCTAGGTAGATTGCGGATGTGATGAGGATCGGGACCAAGGTCACAATCATGCCTACATTGATTCACAGTCAGTTTCGTTGCCCACATTCTAGACATGTCCTTTTATCGATTCTTTATTTTTTTTATATGTACCTACCCGACAGCGAGACCGGCTCCTTGGCCTCATCCGTGTTGGAGGTGTTACTAGGTATGTCGCTCATTTTGGCGGCTTCGCAGGATAACCCGCTTTAAACTATAAATGTAGGTATTTCGTTTCCTCAATCTGGTGGGTCAAATAGTCGGTATTCGAGTTCGGTGTGCTCAGTTGTTGTTGGCGCGAAGCTCACCAGCAGAGGGAGCTGGGACTAGGTAGGGTTGAGGAGGGTTGGGCCACTGCAACTCGAGTTGTTAGAAGAAGGGCCATATGGATGAAGAGTGAAGATGAGGGAGTGGAAAGAAAAGACAAGCAGCAGATGAAAAAAAGTGAGGGTGGCGGGAGAGTGATGTGATGACCAGGGGAGGAGGAGGACTTGAAGGGAGGAGGGCTGGGCATTTACGTCGTTAGGTTGCAGGCCACGGCAGAGGAAGCAAGGAACCAGGACAGGGCAGCTTCTGGGTGGTCAAGAAGGTTGCACCCGTGTATCTTTCTGGATACCTACCTCCGGCAGTGGTACCTTGGTACCCTGATTCCAGATTCCAGAGATCAGCTTTCGACGGAGTGTCCCTGGCGGGTGAGATCTGACCCTTTTGAATGAAAAACGGAAAGGAGACGCTGGAGATGGCAGGGGGGAGGCCATGTGGATAAGTGCAAATTGAAAGCAACGAGAGCCCCAGGTAGTGGAGGAATGGACTCACGCTATTTCTTGAACCGGGGGTGTTTGAGACTGCCGTGCTTGGCTTCGTCTTAGCTTGTCTCGTTTGTTGTGTGACTCGCGTTGTTGATTAAGGTCGGTAGGAAAGAATTGGGTGACGGGTGCGCAACTTTTGCACACGCAAGCGCAAAAACTGAACGAAGCAAGGCAACGCAATATGTGCGCTGTACGGCGTCTTCAATGTTCCACGGCAATGCAATGGAAGGGGAATCGACAAGCACTGCCAAAATACCCACTTGGTCAAGTGAAACGGAAGGTGTTCATGATCCAAGGGAGCAAACGAGGAAGGAGCTTGGACCCTATCAATCAACATACTAAGAAAATTGTCGGACGCCCGATGATGAAGCCAAGCTTTGATATTCAAGCTTCCTAGTCTATCGTTTCCATTTTTCCTTTGTGTGCATCTTCTGTCATAGCCTCAGGTTCTTGCCTTGATCAAGTTTTACGTGGTCGCCAAAGAAAATCCAAGAGGAGGGCGACATCTCCAATGACGCAACGCGCGATGGAAATCTGCACGCAGTACATAGTACATAGCTACATAATATTGCTTTCATTCCTTCCCGCCAACTTGATCAAGTTCGGACGATGTGGGGCGTATGGCGCAAGAAAACGCTCATAATTGGCTAAAGCGGCCCTGGTACTTGGCAGTGTCCACCGTTGAGTTGGGATGGCAGGCACGGTCTAGATCACCGCAATCGTGAAACCCGACCTGAGATCCTGCCACTAGCAAATTCACTGCCATTGCATGACCCATGCCAACCTGACTGAGCCTGCGCTCAGCTTCCTTTTCAGCCTCTGACGGAGGTCAAGACAGCAAATAACTCTACGCGTAGGGTACATACTACAAACTATTACCTGCATCCAATTCACGTATACTTTGGGTTGACGGCGAATGACTACTGTACCACCACAACGACACTGACAGATGAGAGCAGAAATGATAGCGCCCGACCGACATTGAAACGGGCGGCGCTTTCCGTCATTTCAAGATTGGCTCTCATCAACGGGATGCCGAAAGCCGTGAGCGCTTCTCACATCAAGCTCGTGTCACTGCTAGCCTATTACGTCGGAGCCATAGTGAAAGAGTGATGTGCAACCAGTGTTTCCGAAACAAGGGTGCGCCAGTGACCATGTCGATGAACATCTGTTTCAGAACCGACTCTCTGGGCTCTGTCAATCTTGTCAATCCGAAGGGCAATCATCCGGCACGAGGCCACAACCCACTTACCGATACCGTAGAAATGAAGTATCTCCCGCCGCTGCCGTCGACGACGATGGTCACCGTCAATGTCTGCCATTTAGTGTAAAGTACACTACTAGTGTACATTTGGTGACAATCAGAGGAGACCTGGGGAAGGGTCAATGTAGACAGTACGCTACACTAAATTGGATTGGATGATTTGCCGACTTGTGATTGGACAAGACTGGTCTTTCAATTGTGCACTAGGCAGAGAGCTCCGCTTCCGCACCCCGCGCTACTGCAACTTTCAGCTGTGATGGTCGATTGGGGGGCATGCACGACCGCGTCAAAAGCCACTGGATGACACGGTAAAGCAATTGGCCGGGTATTGAACCCTCTGCTTGGTTCTTTTTTTTCAGTCTCACATGATTTGTCCGCATCACGATAGAATTCTCACTGAGATCCAGACTACGATGGACCGCCAAAACAGCTTGCGCATGGTAGCTGAGGGGACATTCAACTTTGTGTTTGCGATGCGACGGATTTGCCATCTTGTGTTTATCATTTCCGAACTTCCACTCCTTCCCTCCATGCGCAGCATATGACGTGGCCCTGCAACAAGGAATGCGACAAGTGTGTAGGTACATAGTGAGCCGGTCAGGCCCAGAAGGGTGCGCAAATCCAAGCTCCACAGCTTTTAAGATTACCTACCTCGTGGTTGTGGGTCCCGCTTTCGGATCCTTTGAACCGATGGCTCGGGAGTTCTCATCGCAAAGCAAACACACGGACACGATTCCATCCTTTCTAGCGAATGAGGCCGGCGACATATTCGCGGTACTCGGTCTCAACAAACCCAAGATCGTAAAGCCACACGGGCGGTTTCGACACAAGACCTTTAACAACGAGTGCTTCACGATAGCAGCCTGCGGTCATCTATTATGGAATATCTCACATCGCCTTGGTGCTCAGGGACCGGGATTCGAGCCAGACTGGCCAGAGTGCTCAAGAGTTGTGTCAGTATTGAGGAGGCCTCACAACTGGATCGCAGTCCCCCAAAGCCCGCGATCGGTACCACTTGAGGACCAGCATCCCTCAAGATTCGATTGTAGGTTACACCGAGATGAATGACCATGAACAGATGTGTCAATATTTGTCCAACGGCGTTTACAATTGCACTTGAACAACGGCAAAGTGAAAGTGGCACAAGTATCTCAACCTCCTGAGTGAGTTCACGCACTACATAGGGAACAAACGGGTCGCTGAGATGCCGAGAAAACCACACAGGAATCACCTTGTGAAATTTATCCGGAATAATGATGTGGTTGATTTGATAACGGGCTTGCGCACCTCACCGAGTTCGAGTGTATCCCTTACATAACTCAGATCCGGCTCCTTAGACACTAACAAAGCACATGATGGCAAGCTTCTCTGCTGTTTCCGTCACCTTTATTCTTTACAGCTTCGTTTCCGCTTTCTTTGTTACAGCTGCATTTGGCATCGGATAGCTCTGTCAGACAATGCCTCGTTTACATTGCAAAGGACTGCGGCTCTTTGTTGGCCTGTATGGTCGAGGAGACAATGAACCATCTCAATGGCAATGGAAGAAAAGGCACAACTTATGGTAAGAGGTAATCGCCTTTTTAGCAGAAACATGTTGTTCAACTTCAACTTTATCACCAGCAAGGAGAGCCAGTCCTCATCGCGACCAGAATCAACATCACCAACCTTCCAACACCATGACACCACCAGGCCGAAAGATTGTGGCCGCTCATTTGGCGGACCACGAACACGATGAAAACCGAGGACTAAAGGGCTACGTCAAAGCAACCGACTATGCGCTTCCCTACATGTCGCAGTGGTCACGAATCAACGATGAGGACGTCAAGAGCGAGCTACTCCGCCATATCAACTGTGGCTATCTCTCCACGCATGGCATTCCGCCGACGCTCCTTGCATTGAAGCAACATGCCCAATCTCTCTGTGCCCTCATCCAATTGCTGCAGCCAGACTTCAAGGTCGCCGAGATTCAAGTTGATGGCGCTCCTTTTGTCAGTAGCGACTTTGCCCAGGGAGGTTCCAAGGGCAAGGGTACGACCAGTGCCTCATCGGCCGACGACGATCTCGCCATCAAGTTCGAACTGAACTCAGCTTTCGATTTCCTCAACGACCTTCGCACACCTTACCACACTGACGATATCTACCACCACAAGCCCCTTGTCTCGCTGATCAACGAAGTCCGTGGGCGCAATGAGGTTTACGGCACTGATTACCACTGCCCCCTGACCCAGATTCAGGACTATTCGCCCCCCGTAACTTCCAATACCACCACCGGCCAGGAAAACCAGTCAAGGGAACTTCGGCCCTACTCCAATCTCCAAAATCTGCTTATTCACACCAATTCCTGCCTGGAGCGCCTCGACCACGAGTACACTGCCACCGGCGGTTTGCTGAGCGTGCTCCCCACCGACGCGGCCCATGACACCGAAGAGCTCCAACACGCGCGCACCACCTTGCTCGGTCAATGGCTTCTCTTCACGCAGCACCTCGTCGCGCGCATGCACGAGCTCGAGCGCAGCTACGGCAACGCGCTCGACGCGCTGGCCGGCGAAGCAGCCATTCCGCACCAGGTGCTCAGCAAGCTGGGGCCCGACGGCCGGACGGGCCGGGTGGTGGCCTATCCACAGGACCAGTACATCCTCGTCAACTCCGGCGAGGACGTCTACGAGTACATCCACAGCCTTCTCGACAAGCGCGAGGCGGTCCTGCAGGCCAAGGAGCGAGTCTGGCGCAAGAACGGCGCGGTCGGAGAAGAAATGTGGCACAAGAACCCACAGACGGGTGCCGGCGCTGACAACGGCACCGACGACAACAACACCAGCCTCTTCGACCAAATGGAAAAGGTCGACGGAGACCTCATCGGCGCCTATTTCAGCCGGGGGATCGTGCAAGTGGACGTCACCACGCGGTACTACCGCCTCGCCAACTCAGGCAGGAGCGTCCTCTTCGTCGTGCCCGCCCACGCCGTCCACCCGGGCGTGGAGCACACGCGCCTGCTGGAAACCCAGCCGACCATCATGGCGACGGTGCAGCCGCGCTACCCGCCGCGCGCGTCCGAGCTGGAGATGAAGTACAACCGCAAGCTGCGCGAGGCAGGCAAGATCCAGCAGGAGAATCTGGACTTGCACTCCGAGATGGGATCCCAAAAGGAGCAGATCCGTACCCTGAAAGCGGAGATGGAGAGGTTGTCACACACGAGGGATGCGTTGTTGAATGGGCTGGGTAAAGGGGAGGTGGAGGCAAAGAAGGAGGC